TGCCCAGCGCTTGGCTCTCCGGTGCCTCAACATCCAGAGGGATGAGCCTGGTAACTCCTTGCTAACTAATTCACTGTAGTTAACAACCAGCGCCAACTCAGTTGCCTCTCCTCAGTCTGTGGTGGCCAAGTAAGCCCAGATTTGTGACTTTGTGCCCTGTTTTTTATATTCCGTGTTTTCTATAGCTGGAGAGAAAGGAGCCGGGGGCATAGCCACCGTGTAGAGCATCCCGCTGGGTAGGGGGGATGCTACATCCTTGAATCTCTTTGCATCCAGCTTTGTTTTCCACCAGCGCGGGTGGCCAGTCGGTGCATCAGCTGCCGGAGAAGCCGTCGAGTCGGAAGGGAAAGGCGAGAGGGACCTGGCATCTGAAACGGGATGGGCGAAGCCTTACACGCCGCTCGCGTCCTTCTCGAGAGCCCGGTGCCAGGCACTGCCGTGGGATGGCTGCAGCCCTCCGGGGGGTTTGGGCAGGAGGCAGCTCACGCTAGCATTAGTTGCAGCTCATCGCCTAACAAATTCCGTTGGATCAGACCAAAGTTTTTGGCGATAATGTTAAAACCGTCTGGCGTGATAAAACAGCAAAATCTGGTAGCAGAAGGATTCCAGAGTCTGGGTGGGCCTGGCTCCCCCGGCCAGAGTCTGATTAGGAGAAAGGAGAAACCTGGGAATTTCTTCAAATAATCTGAGCGGGTTTTGTACCAAGTAGCTCAAAGTGATGCGCAAGCCAGTTGCCATGTAGCAATTTAAACCATGAGTGCAGGCAGGTACTGCTAATTTCTTCCAAAGGCTGAAGTCAGGAATTTTTTTTCCTAGCCTGCTTGTTCATAAGCCTGTGCTGATGAGCATAAATTACATTCTTTTGTATTCTTACCCACACCTTCTCTCTCAGTGGACCCCAAAAGACATATGCCTGGGACTGATGCAGGACCTTTGGTGTACCAAGATCTGAATCGTTCAGCTCGCTCTTTCAGCACCTAGGCACGTTTGCTGTCTTCCAGCCCGTCGGCGTTTTTCTGGTCCCAGAACCATTATCAAAAAGGCCACAAGTGAGCTCGAGATCTCCTCCTTTTCTTCCAGCACGCTCGTGTGCAACCTAATCAGACTAATTGAAGTTGCTTATCCCTGTTAGATGTTAATTTAACATCTTTAGTTTCTCAGGATCAGTGAGTGTGGTACAGAGGTACCTCAAGTCAGCTCAGGTGCAGCAGAACATCTTAGTGCTGGTTTTGCAGTGCTACTCCTGACCCGCCACCTGGGTTGCTCTCCCTAGTATCCGTTACACCCGAGTTCTCCGTGAAGCAGAGCAGCCCAACTCTCTGTTGTTAAAAGCTCATCCTGGCTCCGTGACAAGCGAAAAGCAACAACTGATAATCCAACACAAACTGAAAAAAGGAGAAATCACTTTTGAGCTGGTAGCTGTTGTGCAAACAGGAATCATAAACTCAGGAAATTTAGAGGTTATGGTTTGTAACTCATCTTTGCAGTTAAATCTTGCTTTCTCCTGCCAGGAGTCCAGACATTGTGGGACAGCTGAATAATCAAGCTGCTTCCTGCATGGATGTCCTGCATACATAACCTTGGGCTTTGTTCTTCTAGCAACGGCCTGCTTTACGCTTGTGTTGTGGAGTAACTCCTGCTTCTTTTCCCCTTTTGGTCATTAAATTATCAGTTCACTTTTTCAGCTTCTAGTCTTTCCACTTCCTTTGCTGCTGACAAAGGAGGCTCTGTTTTCTTGGATGCCATGTCATGCTAAATTGCTGTTCCAGACCACGTACTCCAGTGCAGCCACCCGCTCTCACGACTCATCTTGGCACTAGCTGGAAGGAAAACATGGCATATCTGGGAGAGGTGAAAACAGTTGTTCTGCCGTCATCCATGACAGCGTTCTGACATGAACACATCCCCAGACCACAGCATATCATACTCCATCTCTGGACTGCCACCAAAATACCCTTTTTAGGTCTAGATCCATCAAAGACTGGCAAAACCTGCAGGTTTTACTTAGCTGAAAGTCTGGGGTGGTGTTGTTTCACGCAGACATCAGCACTTGCTTTTAGAGTGTGTAATTGGCTTTTCCCTTTTGTTCCTATCGATCACAAATGCCCTGTGCGGAGAGAAGTCTCTCCTCAGGTGAATCATCGTTTTAATCTCTCCAACTTTCTGTCCCCCTTGGAGCACATCTCCAGGACTGGGGCTCAGTCACGACAGTTTTGTATCACGTGTTTTTCATTTTCCGTTTTTGATTTCTGTAGATGAATATCTGCAATAAACCTCCTAATAAGACAGCTCCAGAGAATTTGGACGAAGCTGTTCCCGAGGTGCAGGTCCAACGCGCTCGAAGGAATGGCTGGAGCTGGCCTCTGCACATTTTCCAGATTATTGCCTGGCTACTGTACCTCTTCTTTGCCCTGGTTGGCTTTGGAATCCTGGTTCCTCTCCTGCCCCACCACTGGCTGCCCGCTGGCTATATCGTATCCTTTGCTCAAGAGGAGAACATGGACTGTAATAAACTATCAGTGGGATTTTCTTAAAAATAGTCCTTAAGTGGCATAGAATCATAGAATCATAGAATGGTTAGGGTTGGAAGGGACCTCAAAGATCATCTAGTTCCAACTCCCCTGCCATGGGCAGGAACACCCTCCACTACACCAGGTTGCCCAAAGCCTCATCCAGCCTGGCCTTGAACACTTCCAGGGATGGGGCATCTACAACTTCTCTGGGCAACAGAGCCAGAATTTTTTTCTGAACTGTAGCCATAATCTTGATCTTCTCCTGTTTATAAAAAACAGTTATTTTGAGATCCTGTCAGCCCTTCAACTTTAGGTAGGTCACAAACGTTCTGCTTGTCTTCTTCATCACTCTTTGTTATCTTTGCCTTCGAGGCTCTTCTGCTGTCTACCTCTACTTGTGTGTCTCCTTTTCTTTATATTATTCTTCCACAAGTATGCTGCAGGGTTTGAGGGAAGTCGTACTAGAAAAGCCCCTCCTGAAACATCCTTGCCATGATGGGCAGCCACACCACCCCGGGCTGCCAGAGTGAGTCTTGAAAGGTGGCTTTGGATGTTTGTGGTTTTGCGGGGTGGTTGCTTGTGATCGCTGGCAGCTGATCTTCTCCCAGGACCCTCCCCTGTCCTCTGTAGAAAATCTGTGAGTGAAAGACAAGGTGGTGTAGTGTGAACCTCAGAGGAGAGGTCTGTCGTGGGACAGCCTCGAGCAGCAGTTTAACACACATCTGTCTTCTAAATGTGGGCAGGTTCAGAAGATGAGGTGCTTACACTGTGAAGGCATCTGTCTTGTGTGCTGTCCACCAAAGCCTAACTCAGTCCAGCCTGATGTGTTTTCTATCTCCTGTCCTCAACCCACCTCCCTGGAGCTGCGCGTCCTTCCTAATCCTGCAGCTGGGAAGGAGACAGGGCATGCTGGGGAGCAATCCCAGTGCTCCCAGTGCCACCGCATACTGTCACCTGTGCCCAGGTGACCAACTTCCTCAAGGCGAGGACTAGATTGTCTGGGGAGTGGCAGACTGGAAGAGGGTATCCTGAGATTTGAATTTTGTACTCTAACAAGCTGGTGAGTGTTTATAATGTGTTTGCTTTTGTCATCTCTCTGGTAATGTCTTCCTGGTGAAAATAAAATTTTCTTAGCAGAGCGAGGTAACCAAGAAATATTATAGAGGGAATCTTGGGAAAAGTTCTGAAGAGATGAGATACACACTTATATCATTTATACATCTGATTTATGTATGCCCATGGAGCCTTTGATATGTTTGGGATGCTTTTGCTTGTCATTGTTTTAGTTACACTGGCGTGATTTAGGTGTAAATGTCATTAGATTGGATGTAAGAAAGTATCATTTAGATTGGATATAAGAAAGGAATTTTTCACTCTGAGGGTCATGAGGCACTGGAACAGGTTGCCCAGAGAAGCTGTGGCTGCCCCATCCCTGGAAGTGTTCAAGGCCAGATTGGATGAGGCTTTGGGCAACCTGGTGTAGTGGAAGGTGTCCCTGCCCATGGCAGGGGGGTTGGAACTAGATGATCTTTGAGGTCCCTTCCAACCCTAACCATTCTGTGATTCTATGATTAGGTTGTGGTGGTCTTATGTCTACTTATCTTACCCAAATCCTTGGTATTATCACAGTTCAGACCTCATGAATTTGACTACCAGATAACCTCATAACTCAGTCTAAAGTCGTTTTAATTCAACAGATTAGTGTATCCCAAAGTTTTACTGCCCGTTAATAAAGTGCTAATATCTCTTCTTCATCAAAGCAAATCCTTTTTTGTTCTGCTACACCAGTCATCAGAGCTCCAGTGACCCAGAACTCTCAAAGACCTCCTTTTTTCCTTACTACACTCCTCCATTTTCCGTAGACCCTAGTATGATCAGTGATTTGCACATCTGTGTGTGTAACAAATAAAGGTGCTCATTGGGGGGACTTTGGGCAACCTGGTGTAGTGGAAGGTGTCCCTGCCCATGGCAGGGGGGTTGGGACTGGATGATCTTTGAGGTCCCTTCCAACCCAAACCATTCTGTGATTCTATGATTCGATGTTGAGAAGCAAACTCTGGAGCACAGCGGTACTCCAGGCACGCGGGGTTGCTGCTTTGTGTTTGGATATTCTTCCCAAATATGAGCAGTGACCGCAGGAGTCTGATCAGAAGTACTGCTAAAACGTGTTTGCTCTGGCTTGTTACTGCATTTAGAAGGAACAATCCCAACAGGCGACGTTTCAGGAAACGGCGACAAATCCCGAATACTGTCTGTACATTGTGTAGGAGCCTACTTTAAAGGGGCGACCTTCTTCCTTGGGATTGTGACTAAGGAAAAGGAAGCGAGGTGATCAGTACTAGTTCCTTCACATGACTTTTTTTTTATTTTTTATTTCTTGGAAGTTTGGTCTTGTAAAGGGGTGTATGCATGGCCTTAACTGACTGTTCTTTCCAAGGAGTCTCTATGGACTAAGAAACATGGGCCTATGCCAGCAGTCTGCATGTGGGGCCGAATTCTGGTAAGTAAAGGTAATTTTTAAAAACTCCCATGCTAGGGAGGATGTTTCTGTGAGGCAGAGTAGTACTTGTCCCTGTAGATTTAGTTGTCTTTTTCCAGAGGATATTTATTACAGTGCAAACATCTTTGTTAATAAAGCTCAGATTAATGTGCTGCATTTATATAGATTTATATAAATTTCAAGGTCTAAGCCATGTATTTCTCATCTGTGTGGGCTTTGTGTATTAAAGATAAAAATACATGTATTAAATCACTCATACAATCCTTAACTGTGTACTTCAGTGTCCAGGAGTGTGTTTTATCTACCATTTAGTTGTTCATCTTACTGCAGTCTCCATTGATCCTGCGGATGCCAATGTGCGAGAAAAAAACTACCTGGGGCCTCTGGCCACCTTCAATCGTAATCAGCATGCACATGTCATTGAAAACGATCATTGCCATGTCTGTGATGTCAATGTGTAAGTATCTTCTCTTTTCCTTCTACTCCTCTGTCTTCTTCACCATTACACGTCACCATTAGTGTTAGACTGTAAGGTTGAGGTTGAGCCCCTGAAGCTCTATAGTACGAGTTAAACTTCATAGAGTCACAGAACGGTTTGGGTTGGAAGGGACCTCCAAGATCATCTAGTTCCAACCCCCCTGCCATGGGCAGGGACACCTTCCACTACACCAGGTTGCCCAAAGCCTCATCCAACCTGGCCTTGAACACTGCCAGGGATGGGGCAGCCACAGCTTCTCTGGGCAACCTGTGCCAGTGCCTCACCACCCTCAGAGGGAAGAATTTCTTCCTTCTATCCCACTGAAATCTCCCCTCTTTCAGTTTAAAGCCATTGCCCCTTGTCCTTTCACTGCACACCCTTGTCCAAAGCCCCTCTCCAGCTTTCTTGTAGCCCCTTTAGGCACTGGAAGGCTGCTGGAAGGTCTCCCCAGAGCCTTCTCTTCTCCAGGCTGAACAGCCCCAACTCTCTCAGCCTGCCTCCGTAGCAGAGGTGCTCCAGCCCTTGCATGATCTTCGTGGCCTCCTCTGGACCCGCTCCAGCAGCTCCGTGTCCTTCTGATGCTGGAGACCCCAGAGCTGAACGCAGCACTGCGGGGGGGTCTCAGGAGAGCAGAGCAGAGGGACAGAATCCCCTCCCTCAACCTGCTGCCCACGCTGCTCTGGATGCAGCCCAGGACACTGTTAACTTTCTGGGCTGCCAGCGCATGGTGCCGGCTCATGTTGAGCTTCCCATCAACCAACACCCCCAAGTCCTTCTCCTCAGGGCTGCTGTCATTTAATTCACCCTATGGCAGGGTTCAGTTAATTGGGTAGGTGCGCACTGTCAGATGTGTGCCTGGTTCTGTGTTTTATTTAATTGCTCACATGTTGTGTGGGGAGGACTGTGTTGTTCTGTGTTATCTAGATGGTGTTTGACCTAGCAACGTGTAGTGTCCGTGTCTGTGCTTGTATCTGCCTAGATGCTAATACCATAGCAGGAAATACTGGGAAGGCAGACCGTAATATTCAGCTTTGCAGAATTGCTAAAGGGTTTCAAAGAAGAAATCCATGACCTCCAAATTAGGAATCACGCAGTGCACTGAAAAGGCAAATTTTGCAGTGTTTGGGATTGTGGTCCCACGATGGCCCACACAGCCGATATGTTTGGGTGTCGAAGTATTCCTGATGTAGAAAGTTTCCTCCCTATTACCAGGATCTCTCCTGCTCTATCCCCCTGTATTTGTGTCACTGGAAAGCCGCAGTAATGAGCTGGTGCTGCCATGCTAACACCACCCTTTCTTTGGCAGGAGTGCCAAGTCGAAGCACTGTAGAACTTGTAACAAGTGTGTGTGCGGCTTTGATCACCACTGCAAATGGCTCAACAACTGCGTGGGAGAGAGGAATTACTGGTAAGAGCCTGGCATTGGGACTGGAGAAGAGCACTGCATCAATAATGTCGCCCCTTTCTCTTCCCAGGATTCTCCTGCGTCTCAGTCCGGTCTGTACTCAGCCACACAGACCCCGGCTGAATAAAATCAGTCATGAGAAAACTGGATGGAAAATGCAAGCCTGGTTATGGCATCAAAATAACCAGGGATAAAACTCCTACACTTAAAGCTTTGTAGCTGAACGTCTACGAGCAGAAACAGAGAACGCAAAAGCTCATGGGATGTAAATTGGACGTCCTTAATGCTTCTGAGAGCTGGAGTGGGAATGGAACCATGATCTGTTCCCGTCTCTGAAACAACCTGGATGCAGATTGCATGCTTTCCCTGCGAGACTTGCCAACTGGCAGCACGTAGGCACCTGTAATCCGTGCCAGGTTTAAGATAAAGAGTAAGGAGGCTATCGCTGATTATGGCTTCTCAGCCTGTTTTCCTGCACTAAAGCCACACGGAAAGCAAAGGGTTGTTACTGCTGGGTGCCACGTCACGCTGCCTTCAGATTTTGTGCAGGCAGCTGTCTGTCCTGGATATACCTGGTTTGTAGCCACAGTTGCTCTACAGGGTCATGGTTTAGTCCCTCTGGGGAAGAGATCAGGACTAGGACTGTTATCCAGTATCTATCACAAGTGTAAGAAAGCGTCTCAGTGATTTGGGATAGCTGTCTGTATCTCCGTCTTTATGAGAGGCTGGGATTTTGAACAGTACGTGTGATGTTGTTGAAGCCAATCAGATTTCTCACTTTCTTGCAGGCTCTTTTTGAATAGCGTGTTATCTGCCATTCTGGGCCTTGGCCTTCTGCTGCTCGTCGCTTGCTACGTCTTCGTGGAGTTCTTCGTTGACCCCACGATGCTTCGCTCTGACCAGCACTTTGATGGTACTAGCAGTGCTTCAGTTGAGCGTCCTGGGAATCAGCCGGCGTATCTCCATACGGGCTTGGATTCCGTGGGCTCTCCCACTGAGGAGGATCTCCATTCCTTACTCCTTCAATTTGATATTTCAGCCAGAGCATCTCTGCTCAGCTGGACGGAATGTCTTTCCTTCCAGAGCTGACTAACGGCTCTTCCTAAAAGACCTTGCAGACACAAGATTTCTTAAGCCTCCAGTACACAATGAGTCTGCAGCTACTTTTGAGTTAACAATATTTCCAGCTGTACAGTTTAGTTAGAGATGTTTAATACCTGGACCATCTACTTCCCTCCAACTCTTTTTGTTTCACAGCTCTGAAGAACCACACGGACCACTGGTTTGTGTTTCTTCCTGCGGCTCCTGTTGAGACTCGGGCACCTGCCGGCTGGGATTTTTATTCTTCTGAGCCTCATGACCGTGATCCTGCTAGGCCACCTCTTGACCTTTCACATCTATCTCAGTAGGTATTGTGTTGCTGTCATCTGCATCCTCATTTCATTTTCTCTTAGCTGCTTCTACTCATTCTGTACTCACCGTGTGTTCACTCGTGTCACAAATATACACACATTGTGCAAGATTGCCATTGAAAAGGTAGAAGATTTGGGTTTAATGTTATACTTCTGATTTTCCACCAGTACCAAGTAGGCTTATCAGTGTATGTGCAATGTGGGGCTTGCGTTGGGCCTGTGCATTCGTGTGTCTAAGCTATGTTTTCCTAGAACTGAAAGCACCTGGAAGAGCAGTAGAGAGGCCAGGTGGGATGAAGTGGTTAATTCCAGCTCAGTGCCAGCGATGGCAGATTGAGATTGGCTCCACGTATGGGCTTTTTATGAGTCTCTTCACTGTGCTCCCCAGTACTTCCATTGTGCGAGAGAGCCTGTTTCTTCGTTACCTCGGAGGAATGCAGATGGCATTGATCTAAATTTCTAATAGGAGGCCTGGTGTCCAGGTCAAGGTTCCTTTGTGGAAGTTGTACCATATGATCACAAAATGACTTGTGGAATTCAGAGGAAGAGGTTTTCAGAAAGGCTCCTCGGTAGATCTCCTACTTGTTGCTCTGTCCAGAAGGGATATTTGCCGAGAGAAGCTGTGGCTGCCCCATCCCTGGAGGTGTTCAAGGCCAGGTTGGATGAGGCTGTGAGCAACCTGATCTAGGGGAAGGTGTCCCTGCCCATGGCAGGGGGGTTGGAATGAGATGATCTTGAAGGTCCCTTCCAACCCAAACCATTCCGTGATTCTGTGTTTGTTTATGTACGAATGGGCATCAAAACCCTTTTTTCAGCCATAGTCTAAAATGAAGCCAATGCTGTTTGGCTGCCTGACATAAGTCATGATGAGAAAAGGTCTTGCACTTGCAGTAGTCAGTGGTGCCAAAGCTAGGGAAGAAGGGGTGTGGTGGGAGAAGAACGAGGATGGCGGTTACAGGAGATCCTTGGATGGATTTTTAGGTGGTCAGTTAACAGCGATGCAGATGCCAAGACAAACTAGGTCAGCACGAACCAGTGCAGTTCCAGAAGCAAAACAGTTACAGTGCTCAAGTGGAGGGTTTGGTGGATGAGTGTCCCGCAGCTGACATGAACGTTACAGGCAGCGAGGTCATTGACCATCATTTTCCGTTTGCAGCCTCTTTGTTAACTTTAAATTTGGTCCCGCTGCGATTTTGCTTTCCTGGTGGAATTGCGAGTTGACTTTGCTGGGTTAACGACGATGCCTGGAGATTTCAAAGGTCGATCTAGCAGTGTAGAAAGACTAAAAGCATAACAAAGCTGGGGCCGCTCCGGGAAGATTTCCTTTGGATCAAAAAGAAAGGATTATCCGGTTTAACACTGCAGCATTTATCCTGTCTTTGGGTGCAACTTCCACAAGAGGGTGCTCCCTGCTTGGGATAAAGACGTAATTTCTCCTGTGAAACAGGAACGTGCGTTGTTGCACCAGTTCTGCTCTGGCTTTGGGGGATTTTTTTTGTCGCTCTTGTCTTGAGGTGATTTTTTTTTTTTTTTTCTCTTTCAGATTAAATTTTGAGCCAAATTAACTTTTATTTCTGACCCGATTTTCAATTTGTATGCCTCGCGTGGAAACAGAACTTAATTATTGCTGATTTTTGTTGACATTGTACTGAATTAAAATCTGCTACCCTATTGAAACGGGTTCCAGCTGTGCAGGAGCGTGGTGTGTAAGTCCTTGCTTAAAGGTGTTGCAGCCTGTGTGGTGTGTTACAGAGGAGTATGCATGACCCTTACAACTGGGATTCGGGGAGACAGACGAGGTGTATCTGGTTTGAACTCCTCTTATTTCACACACGTGATTGTCGATAGTCTCATCTGAATGCTTTAAGGTAGGCAGTGTTGGAATGAAATATCTAACCCATTTTGGGACTAGAAATGCAGTTTACTGATCAAAATGTAATTATGGTTCATGAGTATTTCTTCATGAACTTTTCTTTTTTTTCCGTAATTAAATTACGGAAAGAAAATAGCACTGCTGTGAGTGGTATTGCCTCCAAGTTTCACGTTTTAAAAACTCTTCAATCAGGTATGACTGTCAAAGTTTGGAATCTAGCTTGCTTACAAGCACAGTGAAATTTTCAGAATTACTGTCCTGATTTTCACTGCTCACAGCTATCCCCCAAAAGGAAGGAAGTAGGTTATTCTCAAAATAGTAGTTCCATGTGTTCGAAATCACCTGTCTCGATTCAGCCTCACTTCTAGAGGCATTCAGGGAAGCGTGCCACTTCAGAAGCTTGGCAGGACGTTTTTTTTTTTCCCTTCAACACTGAGAGACCAATAGGCGTAATAAAAAGGAAAAAACAGTAGGAAAAATAGGAAGGGAATATAGGGAAGGATACGGAGCTCTTCGCAAGCTATGATTGTATGTTGCACAGTATGTGCTGCAGCGTTTTCTGGCCAGACAAATGCAGTATTTTTTAACTGAATAGCTCTAGTAAAATATTTTAAAAGTTACACTGTTAAGTATTCAGAAACCAATGAATTCTAAATTAAAAATGGTTTATAGGCCTTTGCTTATGTTTCTCAGATAAAGCACCCAGTACCATTCTAGGAACATTTGCCAGCACCCTGCACTGTCCTCGTTAAGTGCATTCACTAATCACTTGGCTGCAGGCTCGCATTCATTTTTATGGTCTGGCTTCCTGGCCAAATGGATCTTGAATTCTTAATTCTTCATAAGGGCATTACTTTAACAGGAGGGGCACCTTCTCCTCTGCTCTCCCCTGCTTCCCTCTGAAGTAGTCGTGTATTTAGGGCATGGTTTTAGGAGGTAAGATATTACTGATATGGATGTCTTCAGGCAGAGGAAGGATTTTAATCTGGGTGTCCCATAACCTGGGTACCTGCTTTAAGTACTATGCTACCATGAAAAGGAGGAAGGACTACCAGACTGCACTAAAAACCTTCAACATCCATTTCTGGGTTTTGTGCTCTAAAACACTTGCTGTAACAGAGTCATTGTGGGATGAGTGTCTGAGTTTTGGATTCTCGTAACGGTTTGGGTCTCATGAAGAAACCAAACTGCTCAGAAACGTCACTCATGGAAGCAGATGTGTTTGTGTTTGTGTGAGCAACATAAAATCAGGCACATGTGAACTCTGAGCAGGTCTATTTGGCAAGTTGGGCATTTGATGCTCACTGTTTTGGACACTTAAGTGTCTCAGTCTCCTCTACGGGACACACTAATGTGCTGAATTTCTTTTTTCTGTTTAGCATCACTTACCTTCTGATTACTCACTGCACTTTCTGTATGATACAAATCTTACCCTTATTGGGTACAAATGATGGATTTGCTGTGAAATGAGCTGAACAGATTACTACAGTACAGAAGGCTGTACCGTGTATATGAGACTTTAGAAGAATAGTGGGACTGTGTTGTGACAATGGCAGGAAAGGATCTAGAAAGATGTAAAGTGCAAAGGTACTTTTAGCTTAGAGTATCAGCCTTTTCATGTTTATAGTTACTATCTGATTGTACAGTTATTCAGACTGTTTGTGTAAGTGTGATCAGGGAGTGGCCTTTCCTGCGCTGACAGCTCTTTCTTTCTTTCCTCCCAGTGTGGAACAAACTGACTACGCACGAGTACATCCTGCAGCAGCGTCTCCAGCAAGAGGTGGAAAAGATAGACAAGCAACTGGAGCCTTGTCCTTCCCAAGTGAGACCCAGTCAGGTACTCGTCGTACTTTCAGGCCATTTCTCAAAAACAGCCTCACTTGTCCGCAGTGTAAAGTTTGTTTCACTTTTGCGAGCTCCCCATTTTAGAGGCGGTTGCTAAAGATAAGACTTTAGAGGTACTTTGGTGGAGTTGAGTAGGATGTGAGAGAGAGTAAGGGCTGTAATTCGATGAACACTTCAGGCATGAGCAAGTACTGCTTTCAAAGGAATCAATCCCACCCACTGTCTTCCTCCACCACTTGCTTTGGGCGCTGCAGTATCTGTTCTCTCCTGCCAACGCAGCTGTTTTTGTTACAGTCATGCAGTGAACAGGGTGGGGGAACTCATCTGGGTAAGAATAAACTTATGAAAAAAATAGTTGAGCTCGTGTTTAGCTGGCCCAGCTCCCTCCCGTTTGGTTCACCAAGCAGTCACATCGTGCCTGCGTCAGCACGAGCGAGGGTGACTAAAGAGTGAGAAGGGTCCTGCCACTGGAAAGGACAGGACCATCTGTTTGGGTGGCTGGCTTATGTGTATCATGACTGAAAGTGAGACAAGCTCTAAGGCTGGAGAAACTGAGGCTAATCATCGAGCAGCTAATAATACCAAATAATCTAATCATCTTGAAAAGGAAAAGGACACCAATCGTGTTCAGAAACGACCTGCATATCTGCTTTTCTTTCAATCGAGTCTACATAGTGATAAGAGTCCTTGTGATTGCCGTGGTGTTGATCTGTATCTCTGTAGAAAGAGTTCTACAAGCTCTTTAATGCTGGTACACCCTGCAGTGGCATATATATTTCACTATGAATTGAGAGGTTCAGTGTAATTTATTTTGCTGCAAGGCAGCTTTATCCCTGGAGTTACTCAAAATTTGACTGGACAAATTCTGTACTGGCTTTAACAGGGGGTTGGACTAGAAACTCCCAGAAATTATTCCTAATCTAAATTATTCTGCAATTCTGTGAGCTTCTGTAACTCCATCTAACTTTATGCAAGTAAGTTACCTACTATACAACCAGTTTTCTATTTCATAAGAAATTAATTAAATCCAAGCTTCATCCAAGTATTCTGTGTAGAGATACTGGGATATCTCTGGACTCATTCATAGTTTTTCTCAATCAAAGCAAAGGGGTAAATGAGCTAATTCCCTTTCGTATAATATGGAGACCCCAGCTTTTCATATATGTTTTTTTACTGCCTTGGAAATGCTGAATTTTCAGTTTAAACACAGGTTTCCATAACAACAAAAATATTTGGCACTTTGTCTGGTAGAGCGTTGCTTACCATGAAAATTAAAACAATAATAAAGCATCAGCTCTAACCATTTCCTAGTTACTGACTTTTGATTGATGCTGAAAAGATATTTGAACTGAATGGGGGGGGGGACTCTGTGTGTCTGCACATTTGGGATGTCGCCATTCACCGATGTTCTCCTGTCTGCGCTGGTGCTTGTCTAGATACGTGTGAGCGTGGTTAATTTGAAGCAGCAAGCCTGGGAGAAGCAGGGTGAAAGGGAGTGCTGTGTTTCAGGACTGCAGTTAATACCTTGGGGAACAAGAAAGACTGGATGATGCCCAGTAACGTTGTTAAGAAAAATGTTAAGCCGCCAGATTTGCCTTGTTTCTTACATAGCAACCAGAGATAAACACAAACAAATAGATTGGAGTAGGAGTAGACCAAGTGACTTGCCTTCTGTGAGCTGTGTTGACTGCAGCCTTCTTTAGCTTGAGCACAGAAATCCTTTGTAATCGATCCAAGATGTTCCCAGAGTAAAATGGAAATCATCCTCTTCCCACTTTTGTCTTAACTGTTCATTTATTTTTAGGGAGTAAGAAGAAACATGTGTTTCCCCTTTAATCCTTGGGTTTCAGCCTTATTCACGCTTGGATGTTGGTTTTGGCTTCGGTTTTCCATGTTTGTCTGTGCTTAAGTCTTGGGCTATGGGTCAGGTTAGAGGATTCTTGTTCAGGTTAGAGGGTTCTTATGTGCTTGTGGAATCCTTCTCAGAACATGCACAAAGTAAAAGCCCTAATTTTGCATGCTTCAGTGCTTAGATGTCACACAAAATGCAAAACACTTGGACAAAACCAGCCTTTGCCTCTATTACTTTGCCCAAAGCAACATGTGCAAGTAACATTTTTTTCTCTGTAGGCAGTTGCATAGCAGTCCAAAGAAATAGGAACTGAACCAAAACCGATGCTTTCATGCAGAATTGCATTCGTAGCAGGGAGCTGGCTTTCATAGTGAGGCCAGCTGGGATGTGATTTTTTTTCACATTCCGAAAGCTTTGAACTTGCTTTCGACACTGATTCGGGTTGGTGAGGTTTGATTTTAAATAATAGACCTGGATTTTACTCAGCTTCTCTCGCGTTTGCAATATTGCTTCTCTCTTCCAATGTCTGGCTAAGATGAACCTGGTCTTCGCTCTATCCTGGTTTTGCTGGGATAGAATCATAGAATCAGTTTTCTGTTCAGAAAAGCTACGTTTCCAAAGTCAGCTGCATTTTTAAGTGGACTGCAGCACTCGATTTGGTGAGAACAAAGTTGATAAGACACCTTGGTTCAGTTTGCAACCAGCTGTGGTGTGCAGGTATCCAGAGTGATCGAGGACTTTTCAACTTGTTTTTGCTCACGATCCAGATGTCCGAGAACCTGGGGGGAGTGTGGCCAGGGCGGTGGACACTTGAATTGGCAAAAGGGTATTCCATACCATGTAACGTCATAGAATCATAGACTGGTTTGGGTTGGAAGGGACCTTCAAGATCACCCAGTCCCAACCCCCCTGCCATGGGCAGAGACACCTTCCACTACACCAGGTTGCCCAAAGCCTCATCCAACCTGGCCTGGAACACTTCCAGGGATGGGGCAGCCACAGCTTCTCTGGGCAACCTGTGCCAGTGCCTCACCACTCTCATTGTAAAAAATTTCTTCAGTAGATCTCATCAAAATCTCCCCTCTTTCAGTTCAAAGCTGTTGCCCCTTGTCCTGTCACGCCATGCCCTTGTCCAAAGCCCTTCTCCAGCTTTCTTGTAGCCCCCTTAGGTACTGGAAGGCTGCTGGAAGATCATCATGCTTGCTATAAATTGGAAAGTTTGTTGGGGACAGGCTCTCATTCTCAGTGGTCACCATCCCTGGAGGGTTTTGCCCATCATTCTGCTCCTGAGGCCAACTCTCTCTCTTCCGGGATTGTGATTTTGGGATTTTCCTGCTCTGGGATCGCTGACCAGGAACAGCTGGATGTTGGTCAAGGGGTGGTGAGCAATTGCACCATACATCACTTGTCTGTATACATTATTATTATTATCCTTATTATTTTTTAATTTTATTTTATTTTATTTCGATTATTAAATAGTTCTTACCCCACGGTTCTTCCATTCTTTTCCTGGTTCCCCTTCTCAAATGGGGAGGGCTCACTGGATAATAGAACAGCTGGCTGTTGTTTAGCCCCAAATACAGGCTAAACGTAGACAATCTCAGCCTCACCACTTGCAACAAACCAAGTTTCCCTGGGACAAAACCCATTTCTTCCTGTTCAGTTCTGCCTCCCCTCCAGCCAGACAACATTTCGGGGCACTGACTGTCACTGAAGTGGGTGGTAAGAGCAGCTGCAGTGACCAAGAGAGCTGAAACTGTAACCAGGAAACTCGAGGTGGACACAGCTGGGATTCAGCTTCCAGAGGAGGTCTGAGCATGGCCAGGATTTGCAAGGTGCCAATGAAGTTTTGTAGTTTTTGTCACCCTAAGAGAACGTTGTGTTTTTTACTGATCGAGGCTTCTTCTATTTGTTTCTGCTAGGCAGCTCTAATGGTTTGCTTTGCTTTTATGTGGCTGCTTTGGTTATACATAATTTATTAAAGGCTGAGATGGACAAAATGGATTTTAAATAGCTCTTTCGTTCCCTGCTTGGAAGGAGTTGTTCGTGATATTCTTAAGATGGATCATTTATTAATCTCCTTTGAAACGCCAGTCCTGCAGTCCTCTTTGTACGCTGTGAGCATGGAGTCCTGATTGTTTTCAGGTCCTCTGCATGGTCTTACGAGGATGTCTCCTGCTGCAGCTCATTTCAGCCATGGCCTGCTTTCCTCTGAAAAGACCTACATCTGCCCCCCGTACGCTTACAGTGACGAGATTGTGTCTGGTCTCCTTCAGTTGTGACTCAGGTGTGTGAGGCTTGAATGTAAATGTGAAGAATTTCATACCCAAGGAGATTTGAGGGAATATTTAGGTACACTTGGTGTTCTTCCAGTACCTAAAGGGGCTACAAGAAAGCTGGAGAGGGGCTTTGGACACGGGTGTGTAGTGACAGGACAAGGGACAATGGATTTAAACTGAAAGAGGGCAGATTTCGATGAGATAGAAAGAAGAAATTCTTCCCTCTGAGGGTGGTGAGGCACTGGCACAGGTTGCCCAGAGAAGCTGTGGCTGCCCCATCCCTGGCAGTGTTCAAGGCCAGGCTGGATGAGGCTTTGGGCAACCTGATCTAGAGGAAGGTGTCCCTGCCCATGGCAGGGGGGTTGGAACTGGATGATCTTGAAGGTTCCTTCCAATCCAAACCATTCTGTGATTCTGTGATTCATTCGACGATGAGCCATGATCTGACTTGAGTTACAAGTGCTATTTGAAATACATGTGGTCTATTTCTGCAGATTCTTAATCCTGCACTCGGATAAACCCTGCCTGCAATAGCTCCAAATAGCATAATTCTCAAATCAGAAAGTTCTAAAGTTTGAGATTGCTAAACCAATTCCCTTCCAATTTGATGTTACCACCTATAAACCAGCTGCAAATTCCTTTCCACCTCCTTTTATTTCTTTTCTCTTTTGAACACCAGTTAAACTCAGAGCGTGTTACAAAAGGCTCAAGTCTTTCCAGTTTGGCAACTCTCTTATCTAACGATCACACGAGCACCGAGACTCCAGACGCTGATGCCAAGGATGCTCGAAAGCAACCAGTCATTTTGGAAGTATCTCTTCCAGTGTGTGCCGAAGGCTGGCCGGAGTCGATCAGCCCAGTTGTGGATGCCGAGGAGCACAGGAGCTGTAGTCCCCAGTACCCCCTCCCAGCACTTGGCAATACACGTGAGGGGCTTCTGGAGCACAGAGCTTCCAATGGCTTTGTGTCTGCTGGTTCCTCACGCAAACTTTGCTCATTTCTTCTCGAATCCATGTAGCATGTAGCACCTGCAGCATCCTATGGCAGCGAGCGCTCCATGCTGTGTCAAAAATGCAGCCTTTCTGCTGTTTCTTTTGAAGCTCCAACCTGATTTTTTTTTCATTTGATGCTCCCTAAATGATATATTAGTGATACTGGAAACAATTATTCCCCATTTGCTTTCTCCACTCGTATTTCCCTTGCTGTCTGAAGAGCCCTGGCCCATTAGCTGTTCCTTGTACACAAACTGCTCCGTACCTTTCATTGCTCCTGTTGCTCTTCTCTGTACCTTCTTCCAGGTCTTCTGGAGGGGGAAGATGCTGGAACACTATAGAGAATCCAGTTTCCAGGCTGCTGCTGAATTTATTCAATAACATGAGACTATTCTCTGTTTTCTTTTTTTATGCCTTTCCTTTTCATTCCTATCATCTGAAACGATTTCTTGGCTGCCACTGAATGTGCAGCTCCATGAATTCTTTGCTAGTTCAGAGCCCGTTGCTTCGTATGTCCAGTTTACACTGCTTTTCCCACGTGCATCACTCTGCATCTTCAGGTCAGCAATATCAATTTTCGTGTGCCGTTTTATCACCCCGTAATATCTGCAGCTCTTTGTGGGTGGCTTTCATTTGTGTTGCCTTCTGTAAGGGAGCGTCATCACCAAACTTCGTCTCACTGTTCTGCTTTTTTGTTGGTTGTCTATGAGTTTGTTGAAGGGCAGAGGCCCTGGGGCTCTCAGGAACCCACCTGTGGGGTGTCCAACTTTGACTTCATTTTCTCAAGTTTCCTGATCAGACAAATTGGTCTTCGTGAGCTTGTTTAAGCTTTTTTGGAAGCTAATGCCTATCACGTTTAAAATCCCTCTGTCTTTGCCACCTAGGGGTTGCCTTAAAATGTAGAGGTGTCTTTATAGTCGTTGTGCACTAAAATGTTTAAGAGGAAGTTGTCTTGCTAATTATTCGAGTTTAAGAGCGGCTGAAAAGTAGTGTCAAGGTTCTCCTGAGCATGGTTTATCCTTTTTGGCAAGGGAGCTTCGTACCCTGCATCCCTTGCTACTCTGACCATATAACGGTGTCCTTTTGAGGGTGAGCTGGGAGCCCTTTCCTGTAATGCAGACACTTGGATTTAGGAGGCTTATCCATTAAATCTTCTTATATGTTTATGAAATATGCAATTTTGAAGTTCAGTATGGCAGTACTTTGAAATCATCTATACCTGAGGCAAATCAGCAATATATCACATTCTTTTATTTTAAAAACCAGCACTATTAGCCATGCAGGATTCACACAAGAAACAGAAAATACTTTTATGTTTTTCCTGTATGGTGCATGCTTTCGTTTTCCTCACCTCCATCTTGAATTTGAAAGAAGTTTTTTGCTTTTTTACTTAGCTCCTATGGTTGAACTACATAACTGATGGAGGCTTTAAGTGATATTTTGAATGTGGTTCCAAGAAATTATTAAGCTGGTCTCTGTTAAGTGTGCTCTGATTTGATTTTGAGTCACGTGAAATACTGGCTGGACTAAGTGAATGAATGAGGGACTTGTTATTGTCTCAGTCTTGGTTTTCCATCTTCTTAAGCAGCAGACTCCTGCTGAGTTTCAGCTGGGCTAGCTGTAAGGACAGAAAATGCCCAGCGTGCAGCTGAGGAAGGATGAAGAAGACACCTCTGTAGTGAAAATCCCTCTTCTCCACTCTGTATCTGTATTGGTCGGAAAATGTTAATTCTATTATTTGTTTTTTTTCCTTTTCTCCCTAGGAAGTGGACTTTTTTTCAGGCAACCCTGGCTATACAGACCCTGGTATTCAAGTGGACGAATTCTCAATAATAACTTCAGGAAAAGGGTGAGGAAAGTTATAGACAAGAGTCTCCCAGCAGCGTGTGTGGTGAATGGGAAACTGTCACCGAAGTCACTGATGGACCCTAAGACAAAAGTACTTAGGAGGGTAGGGAGCACCAATGTTTTGACCAAGGCATGGTGAAATCTTTGAGTTTCAGGAGGGTTAATACCTGCAGGAGTACTTGCTTCCCCTCCCCTGGGAAAATATCTTTCCTAGAATACTCTGTTTAGGCTGGTTTATGTCAAAATTAAAGCTGCCTAATTTGTCCTATAATTCGTCTATTGAGCTCATTATAATTAGGTGATGCCAGGTTGTCAAGAGATGAGTCACAGCAGCAAAGATTATAACACAGGCAAGCTCTCATGGGAAAACAGCATCCTGGTCTCTTAATTAATCCTTGCCTACCAATTCGTTTTCCTGGGGAAGGGAGAAGGAACCCATCGTATCTTGCACAGTTGAGCAGGAAAAGTTACCCTGTGGATTTGCTGGGAATGCTGTGCACGGCGAGGGGCGCTGCGGTCAGCACGATGTGCACGTGCAAGCAAAACGGGCGTCAGAGTTGAGTCATAGAATCATAGAGTCATGGAATGGTTTGAGTTGGAAAGGACCTTCAAGATTATCCAGTTCCAACCCCCCTGCCATGGGCAGGGACATCTTCCACTACACCAGGTTGCCCAAAGCCTCATCCAACGTGGCCTGGAACACTTCCAGGGATGGGGCATCTACAGCTTCTCTGGGCAACCTGTGCCAATGCCTCAGCACCCTCAGAGGGAAGAATTTCCTCCTTAGATCTAATCTAAATCTGCCCTAAGGGAATCTGCCCTAAGGAGTCATGCCCAAGGGAATCAGCTTGTGTATCCCCCGTGTGTTTTAGCTTCCCGAAGCTCTACATCCTCAATGATGAAGCGGATCCTGAGCAGAGCTCCTCTCCTGACCTCCCATCTCTGCACATTGCGGTCCCCTCTCAGGTAAGCAGGAGACTCGCTCCGTGCCATAACCTCTGCAGCTGACAATTCTCCCAGTTGCACGGGTGCACACTCCCTCTGGTGCATCCAAGGGCTGCTCTCCTGTCTCGGCTCACGCCTGTGATGGGATATATTCTGCACTTCCCTCGTAAGCTCGCCGTAACACAGCTGTAATGCAACATCTTGCTGCTTCGGCGCAGTTCAGCGACCGTCTCCACGCTGCTTTGTTGATCTAACAAGCTGTGTACGTTTCTGGAGAGCAAAATCCAACAGTTTATATGTTCAAACATGGATGTTAGAGCATCTGCCCAGGGAGAGGTGGCTTGTGTGGATATGAAGCTCGAGTGTAGGAAACAGCTGTCCAAAATCAAGTTTTCTGCACTTTTGATATTCATGTATCTGTGTCCAGATGCTCTGCCCCCATGCTCAAATGGCAGGTGGTGGTGCTCTCCCCCTTTCCCCCAAGCTTATCAATCAAAGTCTTGCCATTTAGATTATAAGAAAAATTCCTTTTTAACTATATTTGTGTTTTGGACAAGATCTCTCTCTCTCGTGGGGTGTCCTGTGCTATGTGACTTTCGGTCCCCTCTTCTAATTTGGCTCTACAAACACATTTGTCCACCAGTGCCTCGTACATTCTTCAGCTGTATGAGACAACAGCTTAAAGGTACCTACACGCAGAGAATCACTGTGTGCAGATGATGTGTCTGTGTTCATGAAATACCTCTTCTCTAGCATTGCTTTTGTAGGAACTCAGTCATAAACTAGAAAATATTCTTGGTCTTTGGTCGTACCTAATGCTCATTATTCAAAATACGAGGAATTAAAAAGAGAGAGCAGTGAAGAAAAATAACTCTGTCTCATTACTTTGGGCTGATGAAGTGACTTCCCTTCTCTTGGGCCACTTGCTTTCACAGCGACAGAAAAAAAGGAGAAAGAAGATGCATAAAGCTTCTTCCTCAGCAATGGACAGCAGATCTACACCACAGGCTGGACCTTGGCCCTCCTTCCCAGATCCCCAGGCAGGTGAGAGCGCACCAGTCAGCTTCGCTGCTCCTGGACTGGATTTCTGGGTGCTGGCACACAGAAACGAAGCGTGTCATGAAAACCCAGCACTGGCAGGAAGTTAACTTGCCTCATGCCTTGCTGGCTGTTGGCTGTTTGGCATGCTTTTGTGATGCTCCTGAACTGGATTTTCCTGCACCTACTATCCTTGCACACGATGGAACAACAGTAATACCAAAGAGTCAGTAAAGAGGATTATAATGCCTGTTTCTCCATTTGTACAGTCGTTTTATTTTAGATTTAGAAGGGAAAATGAGTGCTTCTGAGTGCTTGGAGATACTCTGAAATGATCAGACACTGCTGCGTGTAGAATTCTGTACGTTTTCATATCTAACTTCGCATAAATATATGTATTATTTTCTTTAATAATATGGATCAGCCATATCAGAGTTCCTGGGCTTCTTGATGTCTTTGTGGAGCTGAGGGAATCTCTCTTTCTCTCTCTCTCCTTAAGCTTTCTTCTCCCTTTCTTTCCACCTGTAGACTTCCCAGCCACGGCTGCTCCCACCTCATCTTCCCACAGCCTTCGCCTCTTAGTGCCGGCTTTTCCTCTGCGAGCTGCTGTGCCCCCCAGCACCATCGGCCTCATCCAGGCAGTGGGACTCCCAGCTGACTATCACTCAGAGTCCGCCGAGTCCATGGATGAGATTCCTGTGGTTCAGACTTGCCTCGGGAGCATGGCCCTTCATAGGCCTCCTAAGAATAACTCGAGTGACGCTCAACACTATCCCTTGTCCACAGACAATCCCAGAGGTGACAAGAAGAAGAATCTGTATTCCGGGCACAAAATAAAAAGGAAAAGCTGTCAGCAAGACAGACGAGTGGAACAAAACCTGGAACTTTTTTCTAAGATTCCTGCATGTAAGTGAGAGCAGTGGAGAACCTCACGTCTCCCAGCCCCAGCCCAGTGAGAGCACGTCCGAGCCACACCACAGAAAGTGCACTAGCAAGCAGCGCGTGGGCAGACGTGATCCGTGCTTCAAGGACATAAGGACAAACACCACAGCGGCCTAGCCACCACCTTCCCAAAGCCATAGCCTTTCGGAGCCAAGGCAAGAGGTTCTCCTTCTATCTGTACGTTGCTGTTCCAAGATCTTGACTCCAGTGACTCGTCTTTTTCCCTGGAGGTAGCAACGTCCCTTTACCTGCTGCTGGCCATCTTCCAGCAGAACTAGGTGAGGGGCACGAAAAACCTTGCCACACTGTTGTTTCTAAGCCAGGAGTGCCCTGAGCCTGGTTCCACTCTCCTCGTCCTGCCCTGGTAGGGATGTGCCCAGGGCCACTGCTGGTTAAGGACCGCAGCGTTAGTACTCCGCGGGGTGCTGAGGGTGTGTTGCTAGAGAGAACTCGAGCACTTTCCATAGGGAAGGGCTGTCCCCTCCTGGCCCTCTGCATGCTGGTACTGCAGGAATGTTCCAGGAGTGCACGTGGGGAAGAACAAGGCTGCAATTCTGCACTTCATCAGCACCCTGGGAACTAAACTTCCCATCTGCCTACACCTGTCAGTCTTTGGATCATGCCCAGGGCCTTCAGCAGGTGGTCAAGAAATAACCTCGGGATTGCCCTGTCCCTGTACCGCTTTCCACTGTGAGCCATCATGCCAAGTCCACCAGCACGTACTCTAAGGCACCATAGTTTGACCTGTTCCACCTTCCCAGCAGCCTGGGGTGCCCCGCAGTGCAGCTTTCTCATCAGAAGCTCTGGGATACAGCAGGTCCTGAAACCTTTCCATTTCCTGCCTTGCCAGATCCACGTTAGTCCAGAGCCAAGCCCGGAGTCTCTGTAGTGCAGAAAAAGTCCCGCACCAGATGCTGGGGCACATAGCCAGTGCCTCGAGTCATGGCACCCTGTGCTGGTGAAGAGCAGCAAAGAGCTGGCTGGGCACCGCGCTACAGCATCTCGGCTTTCCCTGCCCTCCTGGCTTCCCTGGGCAGCATATCCCGTCCCAAATTCCCAGCTGAGCGCTGAGGCTGGGACTCCCAGCGAGCCCAGATCTGCCCAGCAGCCAGCTACCCCCAGAGCCCAGGATAGCAGCTACGCACGCGTCCCGATGGGCCCTGCCACCAGCACGGGTGTGCCTGACGCCGTTTGTCATCTGACGGCCAAGGCATGGCCAGTGCCCCGAGCGCCAGCGGCTGGGGTGGCCGGTGGCACCGTTCCCGGGCAGGGTATCTGGGGACAAGGGCCCTCTGGGCACAGCCGACACGGGACAAACAGAGCTCCCAGGTTTGGTGTACGCACTTCCCAGCCTGGCTGTTCCTGTCATCCAGTGTTCACGCTGGCCTCTGCGCTGCTCTGAGGTCCACGCAAAGTCCACTCTCCCTGGAGCTGGAGGCCCAGATGGATTTCCTTCTGGAGAACTCACTTCAGCAGAGAGGCAGGAAGGTGGCTGCTGT